TGGCGCCTGCGCTCGTTCTGTGAAGGCAGTTCCCATCACGAGCTCAGATCTAAGTACATCAGTTCAGACGTCCAGACCGATTGAGTCTTCGATTGGTGACGCATCCTCCCGCAATCTGCCGCAGCCATGGAATGCTTGGCCGGCATTGTTTCACGTTCCTGTGCAAGGCTGGCTGCCGTCCGCCATGACGATAAAGTTCCTGCGGAGAGGTCATATCTGACAAATTGTACTGCAATGGAAGAATCAGAGTTGAGTTGTTGTATTCCCCGCAGCTCCTTCTGTAGTTCGCTACCTAAACTCTATATCCCTGAACCCCAAAGCCATTACATGCTCCAGCCATCCCGAAAAACAATAGGAGAGCAGTTTGGTCCCCCCAGGTTTGGCTCGCCGGATTTGGTGGACTTGAGGCCATGGCAGGGAAGAGACTGGGGAGTTTAGGGTTTGGGGTCTTAGGGGTTTGGAGTCTTAGGGAGTTTAGGGTTTCGGGTTGCACTTTGCGCCGCCTGGCTGCAAGTGACAGCGGCAGAAGGCAAAGCAACGCTTAAACGCTAAGCCCGAAACCCTAAACCCCAAACCCTAAAACCCTAACACCCCAAAACCCCAAACCCCAAGCCCTACTAAGCCCTAAAACCCTAAACCCTAAGGTCTGGAGACTTGGCGTGCGGCTCAGGAGTTGAGCCGTGGCATTCTGTTGGGTACTGCTGTGACGCCAGCATCCACTTAGGAACTGTACCAGCGCTGCCGGGCCCAAAGAGGCTCTGATGTGCCTCTCATCGTGGCCTTGTGCCATTCGGTGTGTTGGGGCGTCTGTGAGCCGACGCCCGTGATTGCGCCAGGCGCCCGGAACAACTCGGCAGAGGACGAAGGACGCGATCAGCGTCCTTGCAGTTCTCCGAGCCGACGTCTGGCTTTTCCACAGCACTTGTTGCTTGTGTAGGAGTTGGCGGCGCAACCTTGCACGATGATCCTCATGAGCCGATGGTCGAGCAAAGCCCTCGTCTCGATCTCGGTACCCTTAACATTCCCCCAAAATGGCGTGATCCCTTTTTCTGGGAAACCCCGAAAGGGTGCATTCAGTGCTTCAGGACTTGGCGATGCAGCCCTTCTCCACGTCGTCCACGCGCCAGTTCACGTGGAGGGCTCTGCTTTTTCAACGGGCGCATTTCGTGGATGTGGCTCTCGGCACCTTGCCGCGCAGCCGAAGGTCACGGTCGCCGGTTACGCCTGAAGTACTGCGAGAACGTCAACAACGCGTGTTGGCCACAGCAAGCGGGGGTTGTAAATCAGTTGCATCGATTCATGGCCACGCCATCAGGGTTGCACGCTGAGCGTGAGCAACTTTTGTTATCGGTTTTTGTCTTCGGGTTTTGGCGTGAAGAGTGGCCGACTCCAGTGCGATTCCAGCGAGTATGCCTACTACAACGCAGGCCATTCCGATAGAGCAGCACCAAACTTTACAAGAAATGCTGCGTAGCATGGGTCATAGTGCACCTGCTTTTCAACAATTGCTCGCAAGCCATTCTGTTTTGAGGTTGTGGTGGTTTGGCACTGGACTTTACCACATTGGCGTGGAGGCATTTGGATGCACACTTGTGTGACGCTGGCATCACTGGCCCTTGACAGCAGCTGCTTTCCCCCTTCTTCCACGGACATGCCGCGGCCTGCACACGCAGTCTGCAGCCCGCAACATCGTGCCTCGTGTGCAGGTACTGGGAGTTGAGTGCATCTTCAGTCTGGTGCCGGATGACAGAGGGAGTGGTGTACACCGGCTGTGTGGCTGGCGAGTTTTCCAAGGGACTTGGAGCAAACTTCTGTGTGCTAAAGTGCCTCGTGGTGGCAGGCCCTTGAGACACAAGCGTCCACGCCAGCTTGTGCCTCTGGGCCGGAGCGTGTTCAATGAAGAAGAGGCCGGCCAAAGCCCACGCTAAAGCCCACGCTCGTCGAGGGTGCTCGTGTCGTTCTGTCCTCCGTAACAGACTTGTTGCGATGAGGGAGTCCCCAAGAGTTTGCACAGGGTCCCGGACCCGATGGTCGAAATGGCTTCCCGGTTCGGTTTGTGCCCTGCGGCAGGTGGCCGCAATCCTTGACCAGCTAGCAAGGAGTGGCAGCGAACCCAGGAATCACCTTGCTGCGAGACTGTTTGTACCGAGTAAGTGCATAGGCAAGCCTGCGACTACCACCTGTTCGAGTCTGAAGCCCAGACGTTCCATCGCTTTCCCCGACGTTCGTGTCGCAGTTTTGAGCTGGGCAGTCGGAAACCAGGCGAAATTGTGGGCACTTCGCCGTGGAGGTCTGCCAACGTCTGCAAGCCGCAGCCCTGGTTCCCGCTCACGCAAGAATTGAACCTGTTGGAGTTCTTGTCCGGTAGAAGACTAACTCACTGAGGTTGGCCCCTTTCCCATGTGGGTGGGGGTCCCTGGTCCGGTGCTGCAAGACCTCTCTAGACACACCAAAATATTCGGGGCCATGGACATAGTACCTATAGGCTCTAGTGTCCTTTTGAGTATATAATCACCCTTCTGTGGTGATATCTGAAGAGTCTGCAAAACCCAAACCTGCCAGGCGACCTCCGCCGCGAACCACCTCGCCCCTCTTTCGACCTGCAAGCGCCTGGCTGCCCTGCTGAAGGCCCTGAGACACTCAGTGTGCGAGGTTTTAGGGTTTTTTGAATCCGTTTTTGGGGTTGCGCGCTTGTCACGTCAAGACGACACATCAAAGACATGCAGCCAGTTCTGAACTGCAACGAGGCAAACCAACTTTGTGACAACTTGATTTCTTTTTTTCTTGTTCTTTTTTTATACCGTGCTTTGGAGGTGCTCATAGGTTGCTTGGTGCAATGCCAGCCATGTTGCGCGCAGCTTTTTGGTGGAATCAGCAAGTGTTCGTCTCCTGTGGCATTGCGAGGAGAGGCAAGCCGAAGAACTAGAGAGGCAAGCGGAAGAACAAGACGAAGGCAGCTCGCGTTTTGGTTTACCTTTGTGTACATGTGTTGGGGTCGGTCGAAAAAAGCAGCGTTTTTTGGATGTTGATCTGGCGTGTCATCATCCCTGTCGCCAGTTCTCGAGTGGAACCTGGAGTTCTTTGAGATCGTGGACTGACGCGGCTCCAAAAAGCTGGATCGAGTTCGGATTGCGTCTGGCCATGACATCGTGTTGAGGCATTGACACTGCGCCGTTGACATTCTGTGAGGGTTGACTTGAGATGCAGAAAGCCACCAGGCTTAAGCAGTGCAACGCATGAGTTGAGATATCGCGAGATATGTCCCCGCACGGGCAGGCATTGCTGTATAAGCACAAGTCGCATCATTTCGAGTGTAAGATCTAGCCGTTCCTTCCATTGCCGCGCTGGGCGTTGGAGAGGCACGAGACACTTGAGGCGCATTGCGCGTGGGCCCCTGTTCAAATCAGCCTGGCTAATTGTGCCGCAGGGAGATGGCAGTACTCGTGTGGCTGCATCCTCAGTCTTGTTTGAAACTTCTTTGTCTTCGTCAAGGCTGCCCCACCTTTGCGCGGCGTCGGATAGATTTGTTGGTGTTTCGTTGTACACAACAGGCCCAAGCCAGCCTTGCTAAGTTTGAGGCTTTGGTTCGTGCTTAGCTTCGCCTTGAAGGCACGGATCTTCCGACGGACGGCGCCCGCCCCTGATGTCGCGGGTCACGGCTTCCAACATACAGCCGAGTAAGAAGGATGGCGAGCCGCTTGCATGCTCTTTTATAATTTTTACATAATATTGCAAGTTAAATCCCTATTTTGCAATGCAGTTTGTTTTCCGGGGGGAACCCCCCCGCCCCTCCCCTTGCACATCTCAGGATCATGGCGCTTCTTCGACAACGCCAGGCCGTTGCGCTAACCCTACACCCTAGGCCTAAAACCCTAAAACCTAAACCCTAAACACTAAACCCTAAACACTAAACCCTAACCCTAAACCCTAAACACTAAACCCTACACCCTAAACCCGAAACCCGAAACCTAAACCCTAAACCCTAAACCCTAAACCCTAAACCCTAAACCCTAAACCCTAAACCCTAAACCCTAAACCGTAAACCCTAAACCCTAAACCCTAAACCCTAAACCCTAAACCCTAAACCCTAAACCTAAACCCTCAGCCCTAAACCCTAAATTCCCACCCAGGCCTGCTTAGGCCGTACCCACCCTTTTCTAGGGTGCCTGGGCCCAAAACTACACCCGACAGCCATTAACACCATCGCTTTGCCTACTGCGCAAGCCTAAAGGGTTGTGTTGAGCGTGAGCTGCACCTCCTGTGCCGGTGCAATACCCCCCCGCCTCCTTCTCCGATTCTCAAGTATTATGAAAAAAGAACCGAAGCCTGGCGACCTGTACCGTGGGGCCCCCCTTCGGAGCCCCCTTCGGAGCCATGTCTACTCCGCAGTAGTTGCAATGGTGGCCTTTGTACTGTACCCCGCTGAATTTTTGCACATCCCAAGTACGCTTTAGGGCATTGCACCCAGACCACCCGTGGCCTTTACCCCTATACCGTCTTCGTTAGGGCCCCTCAGAGATTAAGGGCTTAAAACGCGATTGCTGCCTCAGCCCCGTCGCGACGAAAAACATATTCAAAATCACGGAGAACCGTAACTTTTCCTCAAAAACATATCCACAAAATCCCAAGAAACATATCTACAACATAACTTTTCCACAGAAAAGATTATTCCTTGAACGTGTCTCGTCTCTGGCAACACATCCAGTGTCATAAATCTAGCAGCTAAGATTCATTCAAGACTGTACCAAGTCTTAAATCGACCGTTCACGGTTGCCGTAGTTTGAGATTGCCTCATTGATGCATTCAAAAAAGACAGGACAGCAACAAAGAACATGTCAACCTGCTGGACAGGCTCACCTGAGTAATATGCGTGTGTATGTGTGTGTGTGTTGCTTGAGGGCAAAAAGTTGCAAGGCTTTCTGATATCAATCAGGCGACTCCAAAATAAGCCCGAAGCCCTGAACCGCAACCGAAACTCCTAAACCTTGCGACCAGCTGAGGAAAGCCCGCCGGGGGCAGAGTGTTCCTGACAGCCGCATTGGGGAAGCTGGCGGCGTGCAAAGCCATCACACGGCCGCTCCCGCCACGCCCGCCGCGACCCGCGAAGCGAGCTCTGGCTCAGCCTTCCCTGTTTCGACGCCGCCCACGCCGCGCGGTGCTGCCACAACTGCCGCGGAGCAACATCCCGGTTCGGGTTCGGACCCCACATCCGCGTCTGCAATCCCGAGCCCTTCTCCGCGGCCCTCTGGATATGCCCAGCACTTCAGTTCTCGAGGCAGCTCGGCTACGAACCTTCGGGACAAAGGGGGGGCTGATCCAGTTTGCAAGGAAGAAGTCGCCGACCCTCGGCCCAAAATCCTGTTTTGACCCTAAGCATCCCTACACCCTACAAGCAGTGATGAGACCCTTAGTTTGTTGGGAGTATTTGGACTTCGCAACAACGCTCGTTAGATAGCGGAGCCATGTGTGTATCCATTGAGCTCGCAGCTCACCTTGGGTGGGGTGCTGAAGTCTTGAAACAAGAATCAGAGGGTTGGTTGGGGTCTCGGTGTCTGGGGTGTGTGGAAAACGACATGAATTTGTCGTGCGACAGCAGACCAGTGGCTGCTCCTTTTGCCTAGCCAGCAGAGCAGTGTTCAACAGAAAAGCAGCAAACCCCATCAAACCTACAAAGCCCAAAAACCCGTAGAAACCCCAAACGCCCTCAAGCCCCCAAACCACTGCCCTTAAACCCCCAAAATTGCCAAGGCTATGGGGGGTTCGCACGTCCTGGCACTCCGGCTCTTGGATTTGGACTTCCAGGCCCCTTGGAGCTGCAATGCAGTTGCTCACGTGTTTCATGGGTTCTTTGCTGCCTTGTTTCTAGTGTGTTATGTATGTGTGTGTGTTGATGATTTTCGTTGTGATGTTTTCGTTCCCTTGTTGCCGTTCCTTCCTTCATGTCCTTTCTTTGCTTATATCGCTGAGGGGTGATGTTATGACAATGCGCGTGGTTGTGAGAGTTCTCTCCAGCAGGGCCTGCATTCATCACACCTGCGTCATACCGGCGCGACTCAATTTCAAGCGGCTCGTGCGCTTTCGAGCTTGATCTGTTCCGTTTGGTTTCGGCGGCTTTGTCTCTGTCATTGCGCAGATTCTAGAGTCTGCCTGAATCCCTAATGAGTTTAGAAACCTTGTCGGAAGCTTCCCACATTACCTGAGCATGCAGTGAGTATATGGGTATTTCCCAAAACAGGGGTACCCCTTTTTCGGAAACCCCATATAACCCTTCCTTTGGCTAGGGAGTTTTCACCCTAAACCCTAAGCCCTAAGCCCTAAACCCTAAACCCTAATTCAGGGCTCCAATTTCGCATGGTTCGTATCCAGAGTGTTGGGCAAAGCGTCGGGCGGGTTTTCGGCGTAAGGTCTTCGATTCTGCTGGTGGCGCCGGTGGGGTGGGTGCTTTTGGGGATCTCTTGGAGAGTTTTTGGGAGCGCCTTGGCCCTTTTGTGGTATTCTGAGGTTGTTGGTCATTGTTGATTCTGTGTGGCAGTTGTGTCCTAAACCCTAAACCCTAAACCCTAAACCCTAAACCCTAAACCCTAAACCCAACTGCTGCTTGGGGGTCTAGGGTCTTGTCCAAGCCGGGGTGTCTAGCAAGTTAGGGCTGAGGCCTAAGCCCCCAACTACGACGTCTCAATGTCTCTCATCGGAAAGGGCCCATGTAGCTTACAAAGTGTCGTGGCCACAGCAATTCTTAAAAACAAAGGGGCCCAGATAGTTTGAAGGTTTCGAGGACGCAAAATGACAGGCCCAGGTATTCGGAACGCAAGCATATTGTTTAGGCATCTAATGCTCCCAAAACCTGACCCTAAAGATTGAATTTCTAGGCTCACATCCAAGCCCAAGCTTGTAGGGATTTGGGGAGTAGGGGTTTGGGGATAGGGTTTGTAGCTGCCGGGTTTGAAGGCTGCCGGGAAGGGGCTCTTGGGCGAGGTTTGCCTCAGCCTTGGCAGTTCCCTCTCGGATACTGGCCCAGCCGCTGAGAGCGGCCTTGTGCGAAGTAGCTTGGGGTCTTGGGATGGTGAGGGGTAGGGAGGTTCTTCAACCCTGAATTCTGGAGATGCGCTCGTGGTTTTTCATGGTCTAAATCTTCACTTCCCTCGTCTAAAATCAAAGTTTCGGGTCCCTGAAGATGTTAGGGGTCGGGGTTTAGGGTTAAGATCGTTTCGCGTATTGTGCTTTTGCCTTGCGCCTCACGGTGTAGGCCTCATTCGATGGGTGTGCCCCATTCGATGCAAAATCTCACCGAGATTGTGGCGACAAAAGCCTCTCAAGCACATTGTACTTCTCACTCGTTCGGCTCTCAGTCAAAAGGGCTTGAGTCCAAAGATGGAGCCCATGCTTGCTGCATGTGTTTCAGGCGTAGTTCTGGCTTTTCTGGGCCGCATCTTCCGATCGTGGCTCCAAGTAGTAGATGAAACTGTTTGTACTGAAGAGTTTTTTTCCTGGGGTTTCATGCTTTTTAATCTTGGGTTCTCTAGATTTCATTTTATTGGATTAATTTTTATTATTACTATGATTATGGTTTATATTCTTTCTTAAATATATTATGTCGGCATCTCTCATATGTAGGCTCATCTGGCTCACGATTCGGATTGTTGATTTTCGTTTGCGCTCCGGTATTTAATTCGGGATGGGCTGGTATATCCCTATAAAAGGCTACGGGCTCGACCCCTATTTTCGCTCTGCGGCCGCCCTGTCGGATGCCCCGCCTCCTCTTCCGGTCGATTTGGCCGCTTGTGAGGGCCTTGCAGGGGGATCCTGAAAATTCCGGGAATTTTAACGCTTATTGTCTAAAACTCCTGGGAATTTTGGGAATCACCCGGAGCTGAAAATTCCCGGAATTTTAGGAATCACCCGGACTGAGGTTTAGGCTTTCCTTGCGCTGTCACGGCGTTGTCCGCTTGGGCGGTTTTGGGCTGTCACGGTGTTGTCCGCTTGGTCGGTTTTGGGCTGTCACGGCGTTGTCCGCTTGGTCCGCTTGGGCGGTTTTGGGCTGTCACGGTGCTGTCCGCTTGGTCGGTTTTGGGCTGTCACGGTGTTGTCCGCTTGGTCCGCTTGGGCGGTTTTGGGCTGTCACGGTGCTGTCCGCTTGGTCGGTTTTCGGCTGTCACGGTGTTGTCCGCTTGGGCGGTTTTGGGTTGTCACGGTGTTGTCCGCTTGGGCGGTTTTGGGCTGTCACGGTGCTGTCCGCTTGGTCGGTTTTCGGCTGTCACGGTGTTGTCCGCTTGGGCGGTTTTGGGTTGTCATGGTGTTGTCCGCTTGGTCGGTTTTGGGCTGTCACGGTGTTGTCCGCTTGGTCCGCTTGGGCGGTTTTGGGCTGTCGCGGTGTTGTCCGCTTGGGCGGTTTTGGGTTGTCACGGTGCTGTCCGCTTGGCCGGTTTTGGGCCGTCATGGTGTTGTCCGTTTGTTTTGGGTTGTCACGGTGTTGTCTGTTTGGTCGGATGTTCGTTGTCACGGTGTTGTCCGCTTGGGCGGTTTTGGGCTGTCACGGTGTTGTCTGCTTGGTCGGTTTTGGGTTGTTATGGTGTTGTCCGCTTGGTCTGCTTTGGTGGTTTTGGGTTGTCATGGTGTTGTCTGTTTGGTCGGTTTTGGGTTGTTGTGGTATTGTCTGTTTGGTCCGCTTGGGTGGTTTTGGGTTGTCATGGTGTTGTCCGCTTGGTCGGTTTTGGGCTGTCACGGTGTTGTCTGCTTGGGCGGTTTTGGGCTGTCACGGTGCTGTCCGCTTGGTCGGTTTTGGGTTGTCACGGTGTTGTCCGCTTGGTCCGCTTAGGCGGTTTCGGGCTGTCA